TATATATATATATTGAGTTGTGTGGCTAAAAAATAGGAAAAATTTATGGGAAAACGTGAAAACAAGGGCTTAATACAGTGATAGATCTACATTCTTCTAGCAACTAAAGAAAGTGAGAGGAGAGGTAACAAGATTATAGCATTCATTTCATCCATAGAAAAATCATATATTTCTCTTGACCTTTATAAAGGGTAGCTATCACTAACCACGAAGAAAAGTCTGAAGTCTTTGCCGAGAGTAATATCATGAGCCATAAGAAGCATATAATTAACTTTGACACGAAATGATGCAGCAGCATTGTTGACCATTTCTTCTGAGAGGACTAGTTCAGGTAATGTTCGCTGCTGTCTGTGAGAAGAGGAGATATCTTAAATGCTTTCTAAGTAAACAAAGAAAACTTAAAGTCAATAACATATTGGATGTAGATTATCTGTTACCTACTTACCTTTTCCTGAAAACAGTATAATTGGCACGGAGAAAGAGCAAGACAATCAAAACCAGCAAGACATCAGAACAAAGTGATAAGAACGATAGCCCCGATCTCTCGATTAATAGCCAGGCAACAGTTGCAACAACAATGATGCCACATGAAACACGCCGTCGTCTCCACAGTATAACATCAGCAGCTAAATAACAAAGTGAGAAAATGAGTAAATCAAGAAGCAAATTGTAGAAAAACAATTTGCATCAAAGATACAACATGCAAATCATAATATATTCAAAAAAATCTATAAAAGAAATAACAAAATCCAAAAAGCACAAAACTTCACTTTAACCATTAAAACTAATGTGTGTATAATTTTACTACTCTTCATATTATCTTGAATGATGAGGTCACAATAACAGTTTACAATTACCTGTTTTCCAGAAATAGAAAGGAGAAACAACATTGTACCAATAAGGTTTCTTAAACCTACCAATTTGCACTTCTCTGTTGAATGTGGTTACGTCGTAAAATAAGAAGTTATCTTTATGTATCAATTCTTATATCTCCGCTGGTGGGATACTTATTTCCAAACTTTATTGACTATATTTCATTTGCGGGTAACAGAGTTGTTCAAAAAAACCTGAAGGTTTATGAGCAGAAAGCAGTTGCATGTTTATTCCAAAGGGGCTAATTCGCCTAATAGTAACATGTCATTCCTTTAAAAAGCTTTCTATTTTCTTTTCATTGAATCAAAATTCAATCAAGTAGAGCACACTAAGTTCAATTAGTATATTTGTAGCAAACAAGTAGTTAACTTAATAGAATCAAAGCAAATGATAATGGAATTTTGGGGCTTCCACTGCTCAACAAAAAAATCTGTAAGTTCTCGTCATGTAAACAAACTCAACTATATTAACAAGTCGGCAACTGAATTAAATGCACTAAAATCATTCATAAACCACATCAAGATATCTGCCTCGCAAATCATAC